CAGATCTTTGATGTTAACACTGTTGCATATTATACTGTGTCCAGCAACATGTGGTCAGCTAGCAAAAGATTTGTTACCAGCCTCAGGCCTCACAAAACAAACTACCCATGCACCATAATTCACCCTCACTTGGGGACTCCTGTGTACAGAGTTCGGGGATTCTTATGAAACAAGTATTGGAATGTGATGGCTGAATAATTATGGTGCTTGGATTGTTGCACTTGTTTGTTTTGGCAGGTAGGAGAATTGTTTGCAAGCTTGTGTTTATAATTTTTAATATGATGTATGAACGGTAGGGAAAAACTAAATGTAGTAGTTTTCAATGAGTCAACAAATGTGTGATAAACTATTAAAAGATTCTTAATACCTTAATGGAATGCTCCGGCATCAAAAGGAATTATTTCTTGTAGCTCTTTAGCATCACTACCACAAAATTCCAAAATAGTCACAACATTAAACCAAACTCATTTTCATTTTAGAGACATATTGTTAGGTCTTTATGGTTCCAAACGAACTTTTGTACCCTAGGGAGACGTCCCTCTCATCCAATTTAATTTTGAAAATTTCTTGAAATTCCCCAAAAAAAACATGGATAGGACAGGGTGGTTATCATGAAACCTTTAAGACCCCGGTAGGCCACTTGAGTAGTTAGAATCATCCACTTGCCTCTTAATGGTCAATTTATCTGGTTATAGGTGCATGTTTCCCCATTGGGTCTAGGCTACCCATGGTCTTTTATGAAACAACCAAAATCAACAAAGGTGTGATAAACTAGTAAAGATTCTTGACTCATTAATTGATCTATGACTTACCCGGTACCTATTGGAATGAGTTTTTATAGCTCTTTACAACAAAAATCCGAAATAGCCAAAACATTGAATAAAACTCATTTGTAAGGTTTTAAAGACATATTTTTAGGTCTTTTATGATTCCAAACCAACTTTTATGACCTCGAGAGACATCCCTCTCATCCACCTTATTATGGAAAATTTTCCAAAATTCATCTAATGTCGTGGATTATAGCCTTTAATTTTTTACAAAATTTAAACTTGATAAAGATGAAGGACAAAGTGCTTAATATGGACCCTATGAAACCCTCACAGGCCACTTGGGTAATAAAAATCATCTAGTTTGCCTCTTAATGGTCAATTTAATCGGTTACAAACATGCGTACGTTTGGTCATTGGGTTTAGGCCACCCCTTTGCTTTAATGAATAACTAGCATCAACAAAGGTTTGATAAAGAAATAAAATGATCTTGACACCTTAATGGAACCTTGGAATGCCCCGTCACCAATTGGAACCATTTATTTTAGCTCTTGACTATCGATACAACAAAAATCTTAAATTGTCACGACATTTAATCAAACTCTTTTTTTTGAGATTATAGAGACATATTATGTGGTCTTTCATGATTCCAAACAAATTTTTATGACCTCGGAAAACATCTCTCACGTCCACTTCAATTTTGGAAAAATTTCTCAAAATTTATCCGAAATTATGGATTATAGATTTTGATTTTGCAAAACATTTTTACTTTTCTAAAATCAGAAAAGACAACGGATGAGATATCTTCCATGGACCTTATGAGACCCCGGGAAGCCACATGAGTAGTTAGAATCATCTACTTTGCCTTTTAATGGTTAATTTAGTCCATTATGTGCACTCGCATTAAGTCTTGGCCATCCTTGATCTCGTTGGGGTCAAATAGTGGGCTTGTATGGCTTTAAACAATCTATTTTGATTTTGAGGTATATCTCCCACCCTTACTTAAGTTTTTGGCACCGAATCCTGAAGATAATCCAATTTGGTGTGTTTTTAAACTTCCATTTAGCATCCAAAGATGGACTGGTTAGGCGTCAAGGTGTTTTCCAAACTTCTCGAGAACTCCGAGAGCCCTATTTGGTGGTCGGAACTACCTAATTCATGCTTGGGCTCATGATTTTGTTTTTTGCTCCTCTCATAATTATGTCTTAAGTTGCCTATGCTTTGGTTTATCTTTCCGAAAATGTCTCTCAAACATGGGAAGACAATACCCTCTATGGCCATATACACATGAAGTGTTTGTATGCCTTCTCCTTGGTTCTCTTTTGCCTTAACCTGCTGTCCTTGTCTTCTGCCTTAGCTAGGCAAATTGTTTTATGGCGATTTATCTTGGTGCTTATTATGCATCCATTTAAGAAAGTTCATCTGTTTTTGTGAACAATATATCTCTTATAAAGTGCTGAGTTGAATTTTTTAACAATCTAAATTTCTAAATAATAATCACATAACCCTTTTCAACTCACCTGAGTTAGAATTGAAGGACCTTTCTGTAGAGTTTTGTTCAATTGTTCTAAGTGGTAAATGTATATATTAGCTTACATATCAATTTCAATTGGGATCTTCATATTGTATTCATCATGCTTTATAGGTATTGCTACTAGAGTGATCTGATCACTATAGATATATTAAAAGCCCATTCTAATCGATGATGGGATACAATAGTAGCTCATGTAACTCTTAACTAGCACTATAACAAAATTCTAAAATAGTCACAACATTGAACCAAAACTCGTTTTCTAGACTTGACATTGGTAGGTTTGTTATGGTTCCAAATCAACTACTATGATCCCGGTAGATGACCGCTACATTCACTTTAATTTAAAAAAAAAAATAAAAATCCCAAAATAAAGCCAAAATCGTAGATTATAGCCTTTAATTTAAGAAATTTTTATATTTTTCTGGACTCGAGAACGATATAGGATGAGTTGTTTTCCATGGATCCCATGAAACCCCGGGAGGCAACTTCATCTACTTTGGGTTTTAACAATCAATTTAGCCTATTAGCCCGTCACAGACATGATCCAACATTGAGTTTAGGCCCTTGTGAGACCAATTAGTGGGTGTATATGGTTCTAAGCAAGCTTATATGATCCTAGGAAACATCCTTATAGCCTTCAGTTTTTAGCATCTAAAGAACATTTTTTCATCTAACTAGATTAGTTATCAAGGGGTATTCTATGCTTCTAAAGGGACCCTAGAGGTTGAATCCTTTGCAGACTACTCAAATACGTGACAGGATATTGTAAGTGGCTTGCTACCACGATCCACTGATTTTCAGCCCTTTATTGCTTTGATTTGTCCCTCCCTCCACCTTATTCCATAAAAACACCAATATTTTGCTAAACAAGGTTAGCGATGCATATTTGTTAAACAATGCTAAATATGGGTTATAGACTAGGCACAACGCCTTTGTGTTGGGGTGTTGGGTGGTGCAAGAGAGTGTGGGCATGGGCACAAGGCATGTGTAATTAAGGTGAAAAAAAACAAACAACTATATTTGGCATTTGAGGGTATGTCATCTTTGCTTGCCTTAAGACATTATGATTAAGGATGGAAAAGGCATGAATAAGATGGTTTCAAGCACTAAGTAGGATTGTCAAGGCCCTTTGGGAACCCGCTGAATTACCAATTTTATGATCTACGGAAGCCAAATTTAAAGGTTGATACACAAAAATCGGCAATTTAGGCTTTGGACCATGGTATCAAAAAGTCACAGAATAATATAGTATGCACCCTGGGATCATATAATGCTGTTTAGACCTATATACGATCATTAGTCGGGTACATAACAGCCTCGTGATAGCCTATACACAATACAAGAGGGTGTATGAAAACAGCCATATCGGCAGTTTAAAGACAAAGTGGATGGTTCCACCCACCCAAATGGAATCCCGGAGTGTATTGGGGTCTATGGGAAATATCTCGACAAATTTTTTCCCCGAGTCCAAAATTGTCAAAAATTGAAGACTATAATCCACGCTTTTGGACTAATTTTGAAGGTTTCAGGACCCGGTGTCGAAAAATCTCGAGATATTAAGGGATACATTTTGGGGTCATATAATATCGTTTGGAACCATATATGATCATTTTATGTTGTCAGAAATGTCCGTGGTGGCTCTGAGTTAATGATATAAGCGTAAGTTTTAAACGGGTAAATTGACATGTGAAAGGCAAAATGGATGGTTCTACCCACCCAAATGTACTCTCTGGGTGTATTGGGGTCCATGGTAAGCATCTCGACATTTTTTTTTTGTTTTTTTTTTTTTTTTTTTTTTTTTTGTGTCGAAAAAAGTCCAAAATTGTACAAAATTGATGGTTAATACACAATTTTGGTCCATTTTGATTTTTTTTCCAAAAATGAACTGGATGTGTGGGGTGACTCTTGGGGTCATAAAAGTTGGTTTGGAACCATAAGACACCTATAAAGATTCTATAAAGTCCCAAAAATGAGTTTTGTTTGATTCGGTTTTGTTGCATTATTATTGGTAGTAAAAGACATGATTCCAACAATAACCAATATGGAGTCTTTCATCTTCTTTTGTATTGTTGGTTAGTCATGCTTTGGCTCATGATTTTTTAGTTTCCACCTCTCACAAATATGTCTAAAGTTGCCTGCCTTGTTCATGCCTTGCCATGTCTTGGCTCATGCTCATGTCTTGTCTTTCTGAAAATGTCTCTCAGACAAGTCAAGAAAATACCCTTTATGGCCATGTATAGGTAGTTTTTAAGTATGAGGTGTTTTTATGCCTTGTCCTTGGCTTATGCCTTTGTGCCACAACCTGCTGGGCTGCTGCCCATACCATGTGCCTTGGCCTGCTGACTATGCCTTGTGACTTTGCTAGGTAACAGCACCTTTTCCTAGGCCTTGTGTCTTGGCTGGGTAGTAGTCCCTGTGCCTTGACGTCTATGCCTTGCCATTGTGTTTTTTTTTTTGGGTGCAACGCCTATGCTTAGGGCCTTGGCCTGGGCGTAGGCAGTCAGCACCCAATGTAATTGATTTGCCATTTAGTTTTAGTCATATAGATTTGTAAGTAGTTTGTGATGGCTGTACCATCTTTTTTGCAGTACATGCTACATAATTGAATATATTGTGTGAATAGGCCTGTGTTGTTTGTTGTTACAAACTTTTATTTTTGGAACTACATTCCTTTACTAGTTCCACCACAATCAATGCAGATCTTATATCTTGTTCAGCTGAATAAAATGCCTATTCATTGGAGAAGGGGGACAATATCATTTACTCTAGATTTCAACTACTACAGAAATCAACTGACTGTGAGGAGATCAAGGGTGAGAAGGTAGATTACAGGAAACATTGGGTCAGTTTTCTTTCTTCATGCTATCTGCATGTGTTTGTGTCCTTTCACTGTCCAGTTATGTGTTGCTGCAATGTAGCTCTTTGACGTAGCTTATGGCGAGCAATATCCTAAGGGGCGAGGGATTTTCTACAAAGCTTCATCAACGCTTAGCCCTCGAGGTATTGCATTCATCAGTATCAGGATATCAGGTTCTTCTTGTGATTTAATGATCAACAGTTGAAATGTCTCATTGTGGTTAATATTATCCGTCATTTAACTCAGATTGCTCTGCTTATTCATTCGGCTATTGCACGAATTTCTGTCCAGTACTCTTGTCTGCCAATTTGGCTTTCAGAATTACCAAATTTATGATCTACTGAAGCCAAATTTAAAGGTTGATACAAAAAAATCGGGCAATTTAGGCTTTGGAACCCGGTGTCAAAAAGTCACGGAATAATATAGGATGCATCCTGGGGTCATATAATGTTGTCGAGACCCATATACAATCATTAGTCGGATACATAACGGCATCGTGAGAGCCTATACACAATACAAGTGGTGTACGAAAACAACCATATTGGCATATTGAAGGCAAAGTGGATGGTTCTACCCACACAAAGGGACTCCCAGAGTGCATTGGGGTCTATGGGAAATGTCTCGACAAATTTTTTCCCCAGGTCCAAAATTGTCCAAAATATCCACGCTTTTGGACCAATTTTGAAGGTTTTGGGACCCCTTGTCGAAAAATCTCGAGATATTAGGGGATATATGTCGAGGTTATATAATGTCGTTTGGAACCATATATAATCATTTTATGTTGTCAGAATTGTAGGCCTTGGTGGCTTTGAGTTAATAAAATAAGCATAACTTATAAACGGGTAAATTGACATTTTAAAGGCAAATTGGATGGTTCTACCCACCCAAATGTACTCCCGGGGTGTATTAGGGTCTATGGTAAGCATCTCGGCATGTTTTTTCTGTGTCCAAAAAAGTTCCAAATTGTACAAAATTGAAGGTTATAATACACGATTTTCGACCAAATTAGAAATTTTTTCCAAAAATAAACTGGATGCGTGGGGTGACCCTTGGGGTCATAAAAGTTGGTTTGGAACCACTAGACACCTATAAAGATGTCTATAAATTCCAAAAAATTAGTTTTGTTTGATTATGTTATGTTGCTTTATTATTGATAGTAAAAGACATGATTCCAACAATAACCAATATGGAGTCTTTCATCTTCTTTTGTATTATTGGTTATTTATGCTTTGTGATGCGAGAGCATCGACACTACTTTTGATCCATATTCAACTAGTGTTGAATTGACAAGATCGGAAAATATATGGGCTCGACTTAAATTTTTTTTGATGATTTTCCTTGTATTTGGGATGCTACTTAAATATATAGGTTGTATTTAATCAGCGCGTTTCTGGCCGCACGGTGCGGCAAGGTGCCATATCAGTAACCCCTCTAGTAATCCCTCGAGTAACTCCACTTAAGTAATACCCCGACTCCCTGACTGACTTAGTAACCACTGACTGACCTAGTAAGTAGTAACCCCTCACCGACCTAGTAACCCCAAGTAACCCCTAACAGACCTAGTAACCCCTAACCTAGTAACCCCAAGTAACCCCTAGCCGACTTAGATCTAGAGTTTTCATGGCTGAATTTGGCCTTAAAACCTCTAGCTTGTTTTTCGGCGACGGAGTATGAGGAGCTTCCTTACCCCCTACCACCGCTGCTCCATTTAACTTGTTTAATTTGAGTGGGCTAACTAGAGAAGATGAAAATAGGAGAGAGAAAGAGAAGAGAGGAGAGATAGAAGAAAGTTCATGAAAGAGGTGTGTTTAGGTGGGAAGAAGAAAAAAGGAAAGAGAATAGGAGATAGAGAAGAGAGAGAAAAAATATATATATATTGCGGCTGGCCTTACGGTGCGGCCAGCCGCATGTGAAACTTTGTGGTATTTAATTTAGTTATTATGTTGTACGTAATCCTAGCCTTTCATATTGTATGGTTTAGATTAAATGAGGTTTAAGGTTTTATTTCATGTAATAGTGTCTCGCTATAAAAGGAAATCTTTTATGATGTAAAAGATAAACTTGTTTTGATTATTGGAAAATATGGGAGTTTTTCTCTTCATTGAGCTCTTTGTGATCTCTCCTTTGTGGTAAAACCTCAAGCTTTATCAAACTTTGTGATTGATTAGATTGAAACCTTTGTTTCATTAGACTTTGTGATTAGTGAATCAAGTTATTTTGCCAGATAATCTTACTTGGTGTTTGATTATTTTAGCTTGTTTTCTTAGATCTTGATCCAAAATCATATCTTTATTTTTCTTGCACTCAAAAACCCACTATAATTCCACAAAAATAGATCTTTGTTCTTCTGTTTCATATCACTTCGGCTCATGATTTTTTAGTTTCCACCTCTCACAATTATGTCTAAAGTTGCTTGCGTTGTTCTTGCCTTACCATGCCTTGGCTCATGCTCATGTCTTGTCTTTCTAGAAATGTCTCTCAGACAAGTCAAGACAATACCCTCTATGGCCATGTATAGGTAGTTTTTAAGGATGAGGTGTTTTTATGCCTTTTCCTTGGCTTATGGCTTGTGCCACAACCTGCTGGGCTGCTGCCCATACCTTGTGCCTTAGCCTGCTGACTATGCCTCGTGTCTTTGCTAAGTAACAGCACCTTTTCCTAGGCCTTGTGCCTTGGCTGGGTAGTAGTATTCCCTATGCCTTGACGTCTATGCCTTGGCATTGTGTCTTTTTTGGGCAGCAACGCCTATGCTTAGGGCCTTGGCCTGGGCGTAGGCAGTCAGCACCCAATGTAATTGATTTGCCATTTAGTTTTAGTCATATAGATTTGTAAGTAGTTTGTGATCGCTGCACCATCTTTTTTGCAGTACGTGCTACATAGTTGAATATATTGTGGGAATAGGCATGTGTTGTTTGTTGTTAAGAACTTATATTTTTGGAACTACATTCCTTTGCTAGTTCCACCACAATCAATGTAGATCTTTTATCTTGTTCAGCTGAATAAAATGCCTATTCATTGGGGAATGTGGACAGTATCCTTTACTCTAGATTTTGACTGCAGAAATCAACCGACTGTGAGGAGACCAAGGTTGAGAAGGTAGATTACAGGAAACTTTGGGTCAGTTTTCTTTCTTCATGCTATCTGCATGTGTCTGTGTCCTTTCACTGTCTAGTTATGTGTTGCTGCAATGTAGCCCTTTGACGTAGCTTATAATGAGCAACATCCTAAGGGTCGAGGGATTTTCAATAAAGCTTCATCAACGCTTAGCCCTCGAGGTATTGCATTCTTCAGTATCAGAATATCAGATTCTTTTGCAATTTAATGTTCAAAAGTTGAAAGGCCTCATTGTGGTAATGTGGTTAATATTATCTGTCACTTAACTTAGATTGCTCTGCTTATTCATTCAGCTATTACAAGCATTCCTGTCCAGTCTGTCGATTTGGCATTCAGTATCACTGATTAGTCTATGCCCTGCTAACTCCAACCCAAGGATTCAGCCATGTGGAAAGCAACATCGTCCAAGAACTCTTAGCAGCAGAAGCAAGAGAAGGCCATCAAATTCATCATTGTGAATGTGCTTTCTCTGGTGCTAAATCCGTGGGAATTCTTCGTATGACACCCACAGAGATCGATGGTTTATCAACATAATTTAGTGCCTAACAGAGAGTTGGGCGCATAGTTACTTAATACGCGGGTATTATATCTCTGTAAACTATATGATTCAGGCTAAGATTGACTGTTTTTGCGTTATAATTCATCTTTTTAAATAATCAGTACATGGGGGATTAGAGTATTAGGTGGGCTTTTTAACTGTTAGAGTTGACTATGTGTGGTTATTGCATAGCTTATGACTGTTCTGAGTTAGGAGTAAATTTATTGCCTGTTTAAGTTGAAAAAATTACAGAAAAGGTGAGGTTGTGAAAAACTCCAATTGATTCTCATTTCTGACTCAATTTTAGTTACTGTTATCCTTATATGAGGTATATTCGGTTGACGTTTAGAGACGAGTTTTATTAGGAGTTTTATTAGGATAAGTGACTTTTAATATGATACGAATCAAGGAAAAAATATGTAATGTTACTCTTGACATATCTTTATGTTGTGTATATGCACTAATTGATGCACCATACTACACCTCATGACTTAGCATATAACTAAATTAGGTGCTTCAATCATTGGATAAAACTCTTGAAAATTTTGCAGAGTTCTTTAATTCATATTTATAAAGTCATATATACAGTTGATAGGAAGGTTAGAAGGAAGCAAGAAATATAGTGACAAAAAAAGTGGGTAGTTTAGAATTGAGCTGATGACAAAAGAGTGTTTTCCCATTATCATGTATGTGTTGGTTGATCTTTTTCATGTTTGAAGCCTTTTCTTCTCTCTTTCCTTTTGTGGCCCATGCTTATTTTTGTCCTTTTCACTTTCCATTTGTCTTTTTTATCTGGATTTTTCATAAAATATTAATAATTTTAACGACAAATGTTATCCACGTTATCTTTTATTGTCACATTATTTAACAATGTAATCTATTTTGAGTTTGTTGTCCAAATTATCATTATCATTTATAGTCTACATGAATGAATCAAACGCTCTCATAGTTAATTTTCATAACATGTTAATATTACATCGAGAAAAAAAATGCGTTTGTGGTCCGAACTCACATTTTCATTGATGTGTGCCATTAGAATTATTAGATAATAAATGAATCAAATCACTGTCATAGTTAATTTTTAAAACATGATAGTAATACATCGTACTTTATAGATTCACCTTTTTGGAACATGTACGATGTATAAGAAGATTGACTAATTGATAAAAACTAATTCATTATAATCAAGAAATCAAGGGTTCAAGCCGTAACGCCGTAATTCTAAATTTTCCAAAGTCCCCTCATTGCAAACAAGATTACATACATAAAATTGTTACAAATTGATTATAAAAGCAAGCACACATCATGACATCAAGAAGAAGTTTGAAAAGAGTTGTACAAAGAGACAAGTAAAGAATGCCATTTCTAACACGACTCTTATCACACTAAATGATCTCATAATCTATCATAGTACACTACTACTATCTGTAGGACAAATCACCAAATGTGGTCAATTATAATTTTATAACGACATTGACAACGATACAGCTTCAATTACATCATTACACCCTCTATCAAATTCCTATTGTTCAAACTCCATTAGAAAAAACTTGAATTTATAAAAATTTGGTACTTTTGATTAGGATAATTAATTGAAGTGACCTTTGGTGTTTCTGTAGTGTTCTAGTACCCTTGCTTGCTTCACTAATCAAAGTTACTTGTAAGACTTCCATTGAATCAAACTTTTTTCAATCATACAAACTTAATTTCCTCAATAGGTGCAAAAGTTTCCAGTTTCATATAACCGTGATAATATTTCACTATCTCATATAATTATAGCTCAAGTGATAAGAGCTTTCTTTCCGATAGAGGATCTTGAAATCGATTTTCATCATTCGCCTTTGTGGTTCTCTAAACAACAAATATAAGTATAAAGCAAATAAACCTGCATCATGGTTATATCATAGAACTGAAATCCGAAATTTAACAAATCGGTTTTTTTACATACTAGTTAACCCGTATAAATAAACTCATATTGTCACGGTGTTATAATCCCATAAGTACTTGTTCTTTCTCTCTTCCTACAATGAGGCAACTCCCAAAAGTTAGAAAAATAGTTGTAATTTCTAAAGCCAAAATCCACTACAAAAGCTCACAACTTTCCTTTGTTTTTGGATTTCATGTTACACCAAATTGTTGTAACATAACATACTGCTCCACTAAACAAGCAAAATGGAGTAACTGTAGGATGAATGAGTCAACACCAAACCCATCTTCTACTTCATTCATTGGTAACACGCCTTCTTCTAAGCCTCTAACATGGCCCCACTTTCCATTACCAAGTTTACTTATATTTGTTGATTTTCTTTGAGGGAAAATATCTTGTACGATGTCATTATTTTGTTACCTCATTGGTTTTGTCTACACTTCTTCGGTTGTAGAGTCAATTGGAAAAACAAATTAATTGGATGTTCATGATTTAATCTTAAATCAACAGGATTTTTCTTTCATTGAATTTGATTTTATGTGAATTACTGTAAGAAATTTATTTAATTTTTTTTTTTTGATATAATTTAAATTCAAATTTGTTTAACTAGAAAAAAAAAAGTTTTACTAAGATCATATTAGTTTAATTAAAGTCTGATAAGTTTTGTTAACTAACAAGAGGTTTAAATAAGCAAAGATCGGGTGTAAAAATACGAACTTTAAAAATAATAATAATAAAGAGATGAAAAAATTATTACAAACGGAATTGAAATTCAGATGTCAAAAGTATATAAGTTGATAATCCTTAGTAAAAATATTATGAAATGAACCCTCTCAGTAAAATCACTATCAATAGTATCGTAGAGAGCTAAATAAATTTTCGGTTAACAAATAACTAAATTCACCACAAACTAATAATAGTACTAAACTAAACTACTAATGTACTTTTGATTGGTCAAAAACAAAATTTCAACTAATTAAGTAAGTGCTAATAATTGGAGTAAATTATTACTGACTATTATCCGTGACTAGTATTTACATTTTCAATTAAGGACCTATTTTTGATGAATGATAATTAGTAATTCAAATAATAAATTAAGGCGTATATAGTAAATAAATGTGATCTTAATACAAAAACCACAATTATTTTGTCCTTGAACATTCCATCACAATAGCAATCACCATATGAAAAGTAGAAAAGTCTCTTTCTTATATATTGAAATCTCTACGGTTCTAGACTAACAAGGTCATATGAGTATATGACTCATATCTATTTTGACAATTACATGTAACCAACCCCTCTATTAAACAATTATTTCTTTACCACACTCCTTCACTTAATTATATAAATCACTCCTTACTTGTTGATTTTATATCATAATTACTTCATCACCATTCCAACAATATATATTTGAACAATAGATAAAAATTGTGTTTGAGTGATAGCCTTTGGATTCTTTGCTTTGATCTTTATAATAATTAACAAGGTTTGTCTGTTTGTCTCCCACAAAAAAAAAAAAAAAAAAAAAAAAAAAAAAAAAAAAAAAGAAAGGGTTTGTCTAACTTGTTTGGCTATGTCAATGAGAAGACAAAAAGAGCTTAATCAAACTAGTGTAAATCAAGATATGGTGTGGAGATGTCTATTTGGAACTGAAACTATCTTAACAAATTTTGAAATATGCATGTCTTTAAACCAAAACCAATGTATGGACTCTAGAGACCTATTAATAGATGATTCAAGGTCAATTAATGAGTGTTTATGGTCTCAAAAGACCTTTATCGGCCCCTCACATTTCTTGATTTTTTAACAAGAGGGTCTGAAACTTTTTTGAATTAAACCAAAATCGTACTTTGTATATTAACCTTTATATTTTGTTAAAACATCAACTTTTTCAAACTCGCTAAGGATCGCAAACAAGGTGGTTCCCTTGAAGTCCACAAGGCCCCGAGAGGCTACTTAGGTGGTAGAACCACTATTTTACCACCTAACCAAGTAACCATCAATTTAGTAAGTCTCTAGCACAATTTTGGCCGTTAATTAAAAGTCAGCTAGGTGCATTTATCTAACTGATTAGTGAATACAAGGTTTGATCAACCTTTTATGAGCTAAGGATTCTATTAGGCAAGATAATATTTGTGAATACTGTGTAGAGATATCTTAGGATATTTGGTGTTTATCTTGAAAATATTTTGGCTTGCCCTCCAAGTTCCCTTCTCTATTTTATTGTACATGGCTGTTCATATTGTATAGAATTACAGAGAATATTATTCATTATAATTTATCATGATATCAAGAGCCTAAGTGAGATCCGATTTTTTTCCTTTGATCATTGTTTTTCATAAACTTCGATCATTACTGTGATTTCGTGAGGGTGGACAAAATCATTTTTTTTTTCCTTTGTGCCTGAGTTTGAGGGATGACAGGAGGAGATGGAGGAAAATCGAAGGTCGACTTGACCTTTCATCTTGGTTCCTAAAATCAATTTAATTCCCTACCATTCCATGAGTATTTGATGTTGGTTCCTAAAATCAATTTGGAGTGATTCCCTTAAATTCTACGAGGTCTCGAGAGACCACTTAGGTGGTTAGAAGACTTGAAACCAATTATTGCTTATAAATTTTAATTACGAGTTCTAACTTAGGGGGTAAAAACTAGAGCTGTCAATTAGGGTAAACGGGTCGGGATTGGGTTGGGTAACTGTGGATCGGGTCTATATGGGTCAGGTCAATTCGGATTAATAACAAGTCGGGTTGAATTCGAGTCTGGTCAATAACTAGTCGGGTTGAATTTGGGTCAGGTCAATAACAAGTCGGGTTGATTTTTGGTCAGGTTTGTAACACGTTAGGTTAAAATTCGGGTCGGGTTAGGAACGGGTCGGGCTGAAATCAGGTCAGGTTAGTAACAAGTCGGGTTAGATTCGAGTTTTGACGAGTTAAAACGGGTTAGGATCAATTTCAATTCAAGTGGGTTTAGGTGCAAGTTAATTAAATTGGCCGTTGTAAACCGGTAAATCGGTGTAATGCAAGTTGTAAACCGGTAAATTAGTCGTTTAACAATAAATTGGATGGTTCCACACACCCAATTGGACTCCCATTGGGGATACATCACCCAATTGGACTCCCATGATTCAGGGCTCGGTGTCAAAAAGTCTTGAAATTTTAGGGGATACATCTCGGGGTCATAAAATGCCATTTTAAGCGGCCATTTATGATCATTATATGTTGTCATAAATGTTCGTGGTAGACTTGATTTAATGAAATCGGTGCAAGTTGTAGACTGGTAAATTGGACGTTTAAAGGCAAATTGGATAGTTCAACCCACCCAATTGGACTCCCGAAGGGTATAAGGGACCATGGTAAAAATTTTGGCAATTTTTATTTTCGGGATAAAAAAAA